GGGGGGCGGGTCAGGAGGGATAGGGTCGGGAGTGGGGGCGGGTCAGGAGGGATGGGATTGGGATTGGGAGGTGGGTTAGGAAAGATAGGGTTGGGATTGGGAGGTGGGTTAGGAAGAATAAGGTTGGGATTGGGAGGTGGGTTAGGAAAAATAAGGTTGGGATTGGGGGTGGGTTAGATTAGATTAGGTTAGGTTAGGTTAGGTTAGGGGGTGGCTTAAGGGAGAGTAAGAGGTTCGGCTCCATTAACTTTTCATATTTCTTTAGACTTTTAGTCCTCACCTTAGACCCTGGAGGAGAACCTAAGTTCAAGGAAAGAAGAGTTTTAAATGTTCATAACCATTTTCCACCGACAGAACTCATTAGACTACTTTATATTCATGATAAATTGAAAGAACATCGCTGTCAGGGGTTGAGTTTCTCTAAGATTTAGCATTTTTGTAGGGTTTACGGTGAGGACAAAATGTATTGTTTTTGTCCCTACCGTAGATCATATAAAAAGTGCCAAATCTAAGGGGAACTCAACTTTCGACGGCGATGTTCTTTAAAATCATGAATATAATGTAGTTTAGTGAGTTCTGACAGTAGGAAATTATGAACATTCCAACTTTATTTTCCTTGAAATCAGGTTCTCTTTCAGGGTCTACTGTTAAGACTAACAGTCTAAGAAATGTAAAAAGGTATTTGAACCAACCGGGAATGTTATGGCTCATGATTCACGAGGGTAGGAGGACAAAAATGGTTAGAACGTTTTATCCTCGTAAGTTAGAACGTTCTATCCATCGCATTATTCACTCCTTATTGATCAAGGAAAACTCACTTAATCGTAGAATTCCTCGAATTTGTCTACGATTTTGACTACATTTTGCAATTGTGAACTATAATTTCTGGCCTATGCGTAAAAACACGTACGTCTATCGGGAAACTGATAGTACTTACGTTGCTTTTCAAGTAGGTCAGAAATTGTAGTTCCAAATCTCAAAATGTAGTCCAATTCTCCGTCTGTATATACAGACTGAAGAAAAAGGAGATAATATATTATCTCCTTTTTCTTTCCGGAGATAATATATTATCTCCTTTTTCTTTCTCAGTTTATTCTAACATCGCATGTTTCCTTCCTGCATTTAAATCTCCCTGTCATTTTCTTACCTTCTTTTCCACGTCTCATCAATACACCCATCCAATGCCTTTCACGATTTAAATAAAGTTTTCTGTCTTAAATCGTGAGCAACTATTAACATAAAATTCTGTGCTCTTCTGTATCTTTCCGTCCTTTCCCTCCATTCAACAACCGCATGAAAGTATCACACCAAAAAACCGTGCCTTTAGTCTCTTACTTTCTTCTATCTTCTTTCTTCCCACTTTTACGTAGGGTTTGACGCTTATATTTTGTGAATCATATTTGAACTGCTCAGTCTATGTACGATAATCATCGAATTTCCAACCTCGTTACTACTTCAGCCACACAACTTGCTCCACTCGGCAAATGATCTCCTTGCTCGAGCTTCGCTAGATTGATTCGTCAGCGTTTTCATCGTTACCATTCATTCTGCTAATCAAACGCTCAATTTTTCACATAATCTCTTATCAACAATGGTGGAAATACTTGCGCGGATTTCCGGCCGCAAAGTCAACTATCGCTAACATCCTTGTTATCAAAGGATCACAGATGAGGCGGAGAGGCTACATGGCGAACAGTTCCCTCTTCTGCTAAAGAGAAGTAAAAACTTCTCGTCATTCGAAATGCTCTTCACGAAAAGTGAGAAGAAGAAAACAGCGAAGCAAGAAACAGAAGAAAGGTACATTAGGAGCTGTAGGAGAAGAAACAGCAGCTAAGGAAGAAGCGCAGACATAGAACAGAATATGTTGAAAAATCGGAAGAAAATAGCGTAAGCGGAGGAATAAGCTGGAGGAGAACCAGCTGCAGCATCAGAAATAGGACCGAAAGAAACATCCAGCGAGAACAACGTCTTACGTCTTTACATCTCTCCTTATGATTAATTTTTATTTTTTAATTTATTTTTTGGTTATTACATTTGTCCAATAGTTAAATTGTCCTTGGTTTTTACTTCATTTAGTAAATAGGTTCAGTATTGAACTTAATTTTTTTAAGATTAACATCTTTTCCGAGTCATTCTGTCAGTGTAATCGGTATATTTTAATTTAGTTACTTATCTTAAAGACCAAATTCTAATTTTAATTAGACAACTCAGTGTTATCTGCATTGATAATGTCATATGTAGCTGCATATGCGAAAAAAAGTTCTTTGTTCAAAAAAAACAAACTATCAGGAGCTTAGGCTAAAACAGAAGTCACAGCTGCAACAGTAGCAGACGGAGAAGTAATAACAGCCTCTGAAAAATAAGAAAAATCCCTCAACTTTGAAGATCAAACCAGGTTTGACAAGAAAAGGCAGCACGAGCAAACGGGAGATTAGAAAAATAAGAAGAATGTAAAGGTGGACAAGCAGAAGAAGAAGAAGGAACTGGTAGTAGTAGTAGAGAAGGAGTGAAACAAGGATAGTAGCAAGGGCAGCAATAGCAAGCTCAGTAACACATAAATAACTCCTCGACCTCGATTTTCCCAGCCGTAATGAGGAAGCAGCAGAAGCAAAAGAAGATTCAGAGAGAAAAGTAGAAGACAAAGAAGAACAAGCAGTAGAAGAATTTCACCAAAAAGCTCGCAGAGTTCCTCGCAACAGTCACGCACTTGTTGTAATACCGTGGTTTAACCGGTCTATAGTGTTATGAATGTTACCTTAGTCTTCTCATCATGTACCTAGTCTTTTTTTCTTCTTCTTCTTGGTCAATTAGGTCGCTGTTGCTTCCAAAAGTCTCTCTTTAAATCATCGTTTTATAATTGATATGAAATGTGTTTAATATGACAAGGAGAACAATTAGTGCCAATGAGTATATTTTTATTAGGGCTGCCGAATTGTGAGTAATTTGAGAATTTGTAAGAAAAACGCCAGTAATGAGTCTATTTTGTGCGTAATTCTCTCTGTTGAAGCGACTAACGGAATGCTGCCTTTTTCTAAGAGAACTCGTTATTTGGCGCGATTTGTGCGAGTATCCAGTGAGTAAAATTGAGAAAGGTGATCGAAAAGTAAATAAAAAATTGAGAACGGCGAGCAATAAGTGTTTCAGTAAAATCGAGAAGTGGTGTGTACATAATTAACAAAATCGAGGACGATGGGTAGAAGTGAGAAAATTCGAAAACTGTAGGAAGCAAATGAGTACAATTTTGAACAAATAAAATTGAGAACGGCGAGTAATAAGTGTTTGAGTAAAATCGAGAAGTGGTGTGTACATAATTAATAAAATCGAGGACGATGGGCAGAAGTGAGAAAATTCGAAAACTGTGGGAAGCAAATGAGTACAATTTTGAACCAATAAAATTGAGAACGGCGAGTAATAAGTGTTTGAGTAAAATCGAGAAAAGGGTTTGTACATAGTTAATAAAATCGAGGACGATGAGTAGAAGTGAGAAAATTCGAAAACTGTGGGAAGCAAATGAGAACAATTTTGAACAGGTAGTAGCAAATGAGTTGAAAATCTGCGAAACGTACGAGTAAGTCCGTAAGAGTATCGGCAGTCCTGACTTCATTAATATTCTTGTTGGAAAATTCTGTTGGAAAAAAGGTCTTTTGGATCTAGAGTCCGGACTCATAAAAAATTTGACAAGAGAAAATACTCATAGTTCTATTCAATATTTGCTTGAATCGAGAGCCAAGCTTATTTCCTTTTGATTCAAGCAAAAATGTGATGGAATCAATAGTATTTTTTATTGTTTAGTTTTAGATTCTGGACTCTGCCTTCAAATGACTTTTTTCTGGTGTGTAGTTTCAAAAATTTACCACTGCGTAACTATCAACAACCATTTTAAAAAAGCCCATTACGTCAGAGTAATTATACTTTTGTGTATGTTTTAGTAGTCTCAAAGATAGTTTGTAAGTTGCTTTCAGTGTACATAGTTCACCTCCTTAGCCCACATACCTATAGTGATGATTAATATTGAGCATCAAGAAGTGAACCGAGAGAATTTAAATCGCTTAGTGAGCTAAGTTCTCCGTACTTTATTTTATTTATGTATCGATATATCTATATTCATTTATTCATATATTTTTGAGGAATTGAAAGAAAAACTGTCGGAATATCTCATCATACGAGTTCCTCCTGTTTTTTTCCAATTTTTTCTGTGGTAGAAAAGTAGAGCTAAGGAAGTATGATTTTCAGTACGGCATGCGTCTTAATGGAACCGGCCTTTTTTCAGCAAATTTTATGAATCATTCTGTAGCAAAATATTCCACGAAATAGTTGTCGGAAACTTAGTTTTCAGCGACTTGGATAAATATTAAATTCAAACCAAGAACTTCCTAAGTGCAGGCTTCCGTTCATGTTGTCAGAGATTCTCTTTTCGTGGTCGCGACCTCCACATCCCAATAGCTCTTCATGCAAGTAAAATAGCATATTCTAATACTCCTCAGCAAAACGATAGCACTAATGCGATTCATAACTAACAATCATTCAACGTATATTTATCACGTTCAGGTCTTTAAAAACAATGCAATCGTTACTTTTCTTTTCCGATTCGAAGTAATCAAATCAATCGATACAAAAACAACGATTGATCAAAATAGTGTATTTTCTGCGGAAAATACACTAATGTATCCGTCACACAACTCGACGTAAACATAATGCAGTGATGCATGGCATACTCTCATCATGATTTTATTTTATTTTGTTTCTGTTTTTTTCATCCGGAGGAGTGTTTCCTCTCGATTGTATTTCTAGTTTCAAGATACATTTTTAATTATCCTGATCATTATTCATTATCATGTTTTTTTTTCATAATGTAACCTGTAAACACCTTATTTGGGCAAAATTTAAATCAATTAAGCAAGTATGTCTGGTTATGATTCTTTTTCTGATGAGTCTGTTCATTTTTTCAAATACTATTTATTAAAATAATCTTTTTCTCGACCAATTTTTCTATTGCGAAGTGCGGTTTCAGTAACAGTGTCGTGTCGCGAGTGCTTTCAGCTTGGCGTCGGGCAATCGGATAACCCTCTTCCGGTACGTATCTACAAATTTTTCCGTTTCTTTTTCAAACTTAATGTATTGTCCGTCCACAGCTGACAGTTACCGGATAATTTCCAATTATCATTCCTACACTCTACCTGGCAAGGTAGACTATGTGAGCATTACCAAAAAAGAATGCACGGCTACTGTTAAAATGGTTATACATAAAAATTTTTAAGATTTTACATCTTCCTAATGATTATTTAAGCAGATAAAATCGGTGCAGAACATACACGGAAAAAACAAAACTAGTGTTGAGCACTACTGGCCGTTTAGTGGGGAGTAGTTGAGGGCCGGCGTCTAAGCTCTGTACAGCTCAACACCGGAAGGCAGTACAGGTGGGCACTGAACATGAGTAGTGCTAATCAGATGCCGCGAGACGTAGTTGCGCTTAACAGGTGTAAATTCACCCATGATATATCGGAGCCAAGATAGCCTGGTGGTAACGCGCTGGTCTTCCACCGGCGCAACCCGAGTTCGATCCCAGGCGGAGGCGCTTCATATTTTACGCTCGCTCCAAAGTCACTTTAGGGCTTGACACTACTTCTTCCTTAGTGACCCAGCCTCGAGCTGTTTAGTGCCCAGCACTACTCTGACTTGCTGGCTCCATTTGATCTAACCCTCGTTAGTGCCCAGCACTAACATGTAGGTCCCAACCCTAAGCTCGTTTTTTCCGTGTAGTTCTCCCCAAAATGTTCACTCGTTACCTAACGTATTGCCTCTTTGAAATCACACGGAGAAAAAATTTCGTGCGTGGGACCCGAAGTTTAGGTCATATGGATCTCTGAAGTTTTCGGATTGAGCATTCGAACACTTAAGGTCCAGCTGCTGAGGTTTGGATCACACATCTGGAACCTCAGTTCCTACGTCCTAGGTACTGTGGTTTTCACATCCGAAGAAATTCGGTGCTCAAATCCGAAACACTTCGGTTCTCACATCTGAAGTACTTCAGATGTAAGAACTGAAGTTTCAGATGTGTGATCCGAACCTCGACAGCTAGATCTTAAGTGTTCAGATGTTCAATCTGAAAACTTCAGAGATCCACATGATCTAAACTTCGGGTCCCACGCACGAAGTTTTTTTCTCCATGCATAATTGAGAAACTCATTGCCAATCGAAGCAGTACTCATTCAAAAGAATAATCATGCAATGGAGAATATGCATGTGTCTAAAATTTGGTCAATTTCATGTCTAAGATGAAACTAATTGAGAGAACTGAGCTCGAGTTTCTCCTTGGTTTCTCAATTGAACAATTATTGGAGAATATATGACGAAATAATCTAATCTGCTAAAAATGTACTGTGTTTTGATAAGAAAAGTTTAAATATGCCGGAAAAATTGCTTTAAAGTAAAGTGCACCCCGTACTTTTCACAAATGCAAGAATTACAAATCCTTAAACAAGTTAATTTCAAATACTCTAAAAATTGAATGAAGTATCGACAAATTTTGAGTTAAACGTATTAAAAACGCTACAAATTAGGTACCATGCATTTCAATGAAATGTGTAATAAATAATTTACACTGGGAAAAAAAAACATTGAATCTAGAGTCCAGATTCTTGAAAACATCGACAAGAAAAAATACTCCTGATTCAATCGGATTTTTGAGGGCTTGGCTCTTGATCGAATCAAGAGCCAAGCCTCTTAATTTGAGCAAAAATCTGATTGAATCAAGAGTATTTTTTCTTGTCAATGTTTTCAAGAGTCTGGACTCTAGATCCAATGTGTTTTTTTTTTCCAGTGTAGATGGACCTAATACACATATTTAATCGTCAAAGAGCAGGAAAAATCCTATAATTTCAATGTCGGGAAGAATTAATCACTATCCGCCTAGGTTCCTTCTATGCTCTCCTTAAATGTCTCACTTCTTCTTCCTCTAATGGGTAGATTTTCACCACATGTAATGATTTTAATTTTGATTAATTGATTTTTTTCAGGAACCTTTGCTGTCAGTGGCTTCTCGGTATGTAAATTTTTTGCATTTTGTATGGAATAAATTTAGCATGCCGTTATTTGTCGTTTCTAAGTTACAAAAGCTAGAATATTGCCCTGTCATGTCCGCACGCTCTTCTCTGAATGGAAAGACGGGAACGAGAAATCAAGTTCGCCTTCAATTCCAAGCGATGCAATTTGATCGGCTCAGGAGTTATGTTATGCATTTTGGTCTTTCGCGATGTCCGAAAGGCGAGCAACTTCAACCGTAAACTTTGTTTTATTAATGATCATAGCAGGGAAATGTCCAGTAATTTTTACTAGATTTTCTCCGTTGAAAACAATGTTGACAGTGAAATTGAGAGATCAGTTGCAGTGTAGATTTGTAGCCCCGCTCTGGCGTTCATATGGACGTATTTCTGCTACAAGGAACCATGTGCATAGGGATTGCTGGGATTGTGATACAGTTCCTTATCGCATGAATACGCCCAAATGAGAATAAATAAAACACATGAAGCAGAAAGCAAGTTCACCTTCGGCTCTGTTGAATGCACTTTGATCGAGGAGTTACATAATTAGATCACTGGAAAAAAGAACTAATTGGATCTAGAGTCCAGACTCTTAAACACATCGACAAGAAAAAATACTCTTGATTCAATCGGATTTTTGCTTAAATCAAGAATCAAGCCTCTTAATTTGAGCGGATTTCCTTTTGATTTAAGCAAAAATCTGATTGAATCAAGAGTATTTTTTCTTGTCAATGTTTTCAAGAGCCTGGACTCTAGATCCAATGTGTTTTTTCTTCCAGTGATGCAAAGCGCGTAGTTTCATTTGCATTAACGAATCCGCTAGAATTGTGTATTTTCTCACTTTTGTACACGCGGAAATCAAGCTAGCGACTATTCGAATCTCGGAGAAGGTACATAGTATCACACAAAATTGAAGGAGAATCTTACCGGCTCCCCTATCTCAAGTTACTGATGTTTGTGAATATTATGGCCGCATCTGTATAAAAATCGCGTATTTTCCGCGATGTTGAGGTGAAAATTGTGTGATCTTTAGTAAGCTTCCTATACACCGTTGGCAAGTTTAGTATTTTCCGCTAAAACGTTTAATATAGTATGCTTTTAAAAAACCGCAGGAAAAATCACGTATATTTGCCGCAAAACTGCGGCCACTATCGCGTATATTTCTGCGAAACTGCGACAATTATCGCGTATTCTTTCATTTTTTTTTAAAAAAAAATCGCGCATTTAAATTGATGCGGATTTCAAACAAGCAATTTTTCAATTGCTGTGACGAATCCGCTCGAAATATAGCTTACTTCGCGCGGTATTGAGATGAATTCGCATCATTTCTCACTCTTTCGTACGCAGTAATGAGGCTAGCAACTATTCGAACTTCGAAGTAGGTATGTGGTATCACGTGAAATTGAAGGAGAATCATAGCATATCGCCTATTTTAAGTCACTAACGTTAATAAATGTTACGCTCGCATTGATTTAAAAAAAAAAAAGAAAGAAACGCATTTTTTCCCGCGTTATCGAGTTAAGAATTGTGTGACATTTCGTGATCCCCATCAAACGCTAGAAAATTAAGGTATTTCTCATGATATTTATGTGAATTACTCTTAATTTTAATGATGTTACAAAACCGCAAGAAAAGTCGCGTATCTAATTGCGTATGGGCTGCGATATCGCGATGATTATCGCGCAATTTCTTATTTTCCGAAAAAATCGCTTATTTGCCGCAATACCGAGAGAAACATGCGTAAATGTGTAAGATTCGACAAATCCGCTGAAAAAATCGAGTGATTTTCGCGAAAATTGAGATGATAAGATTCGCGTACTTTTTCACGTTTTAACAAGAGGAAGCCAAGGGAGCAACTATTCGAACTCCGGAGTAGGTATATGGTATCACGTGAAATTGAAGGAGAATCATACTCGTAGCATAGCGCCCATCTAATGCTAGTAACGTTGATGACTGTTATGGTTGAATCGATGAAAAAAAATCGTGTATTTTCCGTGATATCAAGCTGAAAACTGCGAGACCCTCTGTTTTCTCCCTCAGCCGCTTTAAAATTTGTGTATTTTCAACGATATTGATGTGAATTACTCGTAATTTTTATTGATTTTACCAAACCGCTTGAAAAATCGCGAATGTGCTGCAATATCGCAGCGATAATCGCATAGTTTCTCATTTTTCGGAAAAATCGCTCATTTTCAGCGATACCGAGGTGAAAAGCGCGTGCTTATTTAGGATTAACGAATCCTTGGAATCCGATTTTCCCTTGGATCGTCGGCGCGAAAATAGAGTCGTGCACGGTAAAAACAAGACTAGTGTTGAGCACTACTGGCCGTTTAGTGGGGAGTAGTTGAGGGCTGGCGTCTAAGCGCTGTACAGCTCAACACCGGAAGGCAGTACAGGTGAGCACTGAACATGAGTAGTGCTAATCAGATGCCGCGAGACGTAGTTGCGCCTAACAGGTGTAAATTCACCCCAGAGACGTCCGAGTCACCATAGCCTGGTGGTAACGCGCTGGTCTTCCACCGGCGCAACCCGAGTTCGATCCCAGGCGGAGGCGTTTCATATTTTACGCTCGCTCCAAAGTCACTTTAGGGCTTGACACTACTTCTTCCTTAGTGACCCAGCCTCGAGCTGTTTAGTGCCCAGCACTACTCTGACTTGCTGGCTCCATTTGACCTAACCCTCGTTAGTGCCCAGCACTAACATGTAGGTCCCAACCCTAAGCTCGTTTTTTCCGTGAATGATCATAACACTTACTTGTGACCGAATCAAGTGGATGCTTGGCTTTCTATCTACCCCCTTCTCCCTACCTTTAATAGCAGGTCCTCGGCGGAGTAAAAGGTTGGTGAAATATGTAAAATATTGGCATAGCAAGTCAGTGAGGAGTACTCATTTTGAAGTATTTTCAATCGCCTCCCCCCCCCCCTTTCTCGAGGGTGCATGTCGGGCCGTTTTTTCACACACCTCTGCACTCTGGAATCCATCCTCGGACACTAGCTTTACCTCACGGTTGTAAGACAAGGAAATTATAATAACAATACTTAAAGAAGGATAGGTTTTACGTCTCCAGTAATTTGAGAAAATTTACCTCCACACTCCATTAGTGTCTGCTTCCTTGATATGATTCGTCAAGTGAGTCAGCATCGCGGCATTGACCGATGTGTACCATCGCAAAATCCTATCCTTGTTGCCTTCAGAAATCGTGTCCCTGCGAAGTGAATTCAATTGGAAACAGGGATACTTTGAATTTTCACTGGCTGATCCCGATTGATACTTTCCATTTAAATTTTAAGGAACTCTAAGGTGTCATCAGAGAATTTACTGTCCAAGTCAAACAGAAATGTGATTAAAAATGAAGAGGGTAACACGTGTGGAAATAAAACTTATCAGACTGGGTCTGATTGTGAGTCAATGCGGCTGTACTGTTATAGTTACAGGATGTCCACAAATCCGGAAAGTCCGGAAATAGCACTGATTGTTTAAGGGCGGTCTAGAAGCACTGAAAAAGTGCGGACTTTTTGCATAAGAAGGTCCGGAAATTTTTTCTTTTTTTTTGCCAATTTTGTCTCAATTTGAGCGAGAAATTCAAATTTTTGAAATTTTAAGAATTCGTCAAATGGAGGTACTGAAAGAGAACTGAATTTTTCTGTGGAGGAGGTACTGAATTTCTTGGGAATGTACTGAAAAAGTACCGTTAAAATACTTATTTTTGACCACCCCGTTTTAGTAGACGTCCTGGGTTATTAACTCTCGTAGAACTACGTATCTTGGCCAGGTTGTTAAATGACTTTAAGCTTTTAAAACGATTTAGGAGCCTGTGAACGAACAAATGCAAATATTATGGTGTTCAGTACTAGGCAAACGATTTTTCTGAAGAAATAGCTTATAATGTGTAATCGATTGAGATGAAATTCATACGTCACATCAAAATATGAAGATACACAATTTTATTAGTAATGCCTCACTTGAAGTAGAATCGAACTTGCGAGCTCATAAAACCTGTTGGGTTATTGTTCGACCTTGTACCAAAAATATTAGAGAGAAAACTTCACTGTGAGGGAATTTGCAATCCCGCAAATATTGCAATATTGTATTTCAATATCTACTTGAGCTCGCGTCGCCCGATACATGGACCGATTCTTAGTTTTTTGGGGACAACATTTGTACGAAGTCGGCATTCACATGGTTTCTAAAGATTCAAAGTTTCAACCATTTCCACTCGGAAAGAGTATCAGCCTCAAACCAAAACAATGTGCTTCTGACACGGAAAGAAAATCAGCCGAAGCACCCCCTAAGTACAGATTGTAAATTAGTTTATATTCCGCGGTATTCTCGGCACGAGCAGGATTGCGCACCAAATAATGGTTAACTATTGGGCGCATATGGATAACTCCCCGTGTAAGCAACATACTTTCCCGAGTGGAAGCGGCTGAAACATCTGATATGTTCGTATTTAATTTACTAAGACTATTTCTGATGGTAAAAGCAACTCCCTCAATAGTACAAAGCGTAACAATTTCAGCTTTACGCAAGTAAATTACAACTAAAGTCACCTGAATTGGGAAAGTTCCATCTGAAATTCGGATTTGTTCCTGATGAGTGTGAATTGAGAGCCGTTTTCAGAGTGTAAATGAAAAACAGACGGCCATATGCTCATATTCAGCAAAACTGAATCGGTCGCATCATACCTCTCTGTTAGGTTTTTCCTGGACGAAGAAAAAAGTTCAGCATTAGAGATGGAAAGATCAAAAATGTGGAATATCCATGAGATTTGGCATGGAATTTACTTAACATGGAGATTGGACTAAGATCTGCTCAGAAGTTCCGAAATGGTATTAGCCAATCTTCACTTGAGCGTGCAGCTAGGGTTATATCTACCCGATTAATCATTTAACATTTTTATGCGTGTGAAAAGTCATTGAAATATTTCTTAACATGAAAAATGGTATCGAAAGTAGTTAAAGTATTATTCTTTTCATGCAAAATGCTCGGATACTTAATTTCTTTACGATTCAGAGGACTGGCAACGTTGGTATACATTTAAAGAATACTAAAATTAATGCATTTTTCGTCAAATTGACGCTGTCGAGAAAGGCGACGATGCTGGAATCAAGTTGAGGTTTATGAGAAGCAAGCTGAGCGTTCAGTTCGCACTGCATGCGACGAAAAGTAAAGGAACTTAATTATAACGGATAGATGCAACTATTCGGGCTCCACGGATGTCCACGTTGCATACGCGTGAAAGTGAAGGCGTTTTGACTCTTCAGCCACTCACTGCACTGCTTCGCCCGAATCCAACCGTGAATGCCGATCTAAAATGACGGAACGCCTTCAATTATTCACTGATACCACTAAAATAGCACTTAGTCACGAAACACGAAAAGTTTCATAACAATCAGATTTCTTGCACAACGAAAGTTTTTCCTGTCTCCTTTTTCTCAGTTTTAAGGGTAATAATTTGCGTAAACGATTCTCCGCTTTCACCTCTTCAAATGCGGGAATCTTTATTTGTCCTTTTGGAGTTTTTGCTTTTGGACGTTTGCGCTTTTGAAATTGTAGCGTCCTGAAACCCCCCCCCCCANNNACTCATATCCCCTGAAGCGCACTCATAAGTCAGGCTCAAAATTGAAGCGTTAAGAACTCTATGAACGGCTCCCAAATACGCTTAAGTAGTGCGTATTAGGACGTATTTCTAGCAAACGGAACTATATGCATTAAGCTATGAGCCCTGAGACCTATAAGAACATATGCATAACAGGGCTCACGTCATAATGCACATAGTTCCGTTTGGAAGAAATACATCCCTTAATCAGTAATTAAAAAAGTAAGCATACCTGTATGTGCTTCCATTCGTGTAGATGAAAAAAGCAACCTCCGAACGCTCTTCTTGAATATGTGTCACTATTTTACCCAGCTCGGTCGCAACAGTCACCTAGGAATAAATTTAGTTAAAACATAATTAAACGTGAGCCCTGTTATACGTATAAACCTGTGCTTTCTAGGGCTCGTTTGGAAATTGAGATACGCCCTTGCGTCCAAGGAGTGCCAATATATTTTTTGACATTTTTTTCTTCCTCCGATCGCCTAGACAGTCTTTCTCTTAACACCTTTGATTGATGAAAAACCGCGAAAAAAGGAGGGGGGGCTTTTTAAAGTATAGGACTGTGTAATTTGCTCAGGCGGAAGTTCCGCTAAGCCTTGCGGAAAATGTGACAAGTATCATGAGATTTAGTTCAGGAGCACAGTCCAACTTTGGGGTGCACATTGATAGATTACTTCTTCAGCTAGTAACGTCAAATCCTACCTCACCCTAAGACAGTCGAGATCTTCCACTTTTTCTCTTCTTTTTTGTTTCGCCTTTATTTTATTTTTATTTTGTACACACTGGAAAAAAAAACACATTGGATCTACAGTCCAGACTCTTAAAATCATCGACAAGAAACAATACTCTTGATTCCATCAGATTTAAGCTTAAATCAAGAACCAAGCCTCTTAATTTGAGCGGATTTCCTTTTGATTTAAGCTTAAATCTGATTGAATCAAGAGTCCTTTTTCTTGTCAATGTTTTCAAGAGTCTGGACTCTAGATCCAATGTGTTTTTTTTTCCAGTGCAGTGTACTGCACATAAGTTTCCCTAGTCATCACAATTTTAACTCCACAAGTCGCTTTAAAGTCATATATTGTTTCAAAAATTGCCACAACAGAGGTATTCTGTAGGTACAGCCTTTAAAGTCCATCACTCACAAACTGACAACGCGTTTTTTTGTGCTTCACTCCAATTATTGATTGCCATATAATTGTGTCCATTTAAGTGCATAAAGTGGCATCTGCAAGTGCAAAATGGAAACGACACGTGGCACTATCGTCTGTTACTACTGACTAGGATCCGTTGCTCAAGAGGACGAATAAATATTAGCGCAAGAACAGACGACTTGGTTGCCTTGTGTTTGGCAATAGTGTGCATTTTATAGCTCCGTTGTTTTCGGCAAGTTTTCAATGATCTTTGGCATCTGCGAACTTTTGTCTGACGTCCTAAGTGATCGAAGTGGGGGTGGGGCTGAATAAGAAAGATACAGAATAATCCAGGAGTCCTGTAATGGAGATGTTGTATGTGTGAGGAATTTGCGACCTGACTTGATTCTTTTGTAAAGGTTCGGGAGAAACACGATGGTGCTACTGGTTTTCTCTGAAATCAACTCCCAAGCTCAAAAAAAGCTCTCAAGTTGAGGCCAAAATGGAGGGGATATCCCACCCTACCCTGAGAGTCCACCTCTACATCAAGACAACTCTCCATGCCAAGATAGGGAACAAATACATTGACAGGGCTGCGTCTTTATTTGGGACTCCAAAACTGAAAACTCGGCAACCCTGCTAATGTATTTACTCCCTATCTTTGCATGGAGAGTTCGTCTTGATGTAGATGTGGACTCTCAGGATAGCGTGGGATATCCCCTCCATTTTTGCTTCAACTTGAGAGCTTTTTTTGAGCTGGGGAGTTGATTTCAGAGAAAACCAGTAGCGCCATCGTGTTCCTTGCGAACTTTTACATAAGAATCAAAAGTCAAATCGCAAATTCCTCACACTTGCAACGTCTCTATTAATGGACGGCCCCCAAGCTGACCTGGGAATCGATGTCGGCCATTTCTTGTCGGTGCTTGACGAGGACCCGGAGGGAGACGGCCGTCTGGACGATGAGCGCCAGGATGGGGATGAAAGGGAGGATGAGCATCTGGAGGAGCTGGATCCTTCGTCCCTTCTTGTAGGCCGGGTTGTTGGTGCCCTCGGGACAGCACTGCCGACTCTCCCCCGCGAACGAAACGTCGTCCGAACTCGTGCTCCGAATCGAGCCTCCTTCCATGACTGAAAAATTAAGCGTTAGCCAGCAACTAGGTTGAGATGTATGCGAGCCTGTATCGAGAGCATGGTGTCTAGTTTTTTAAAAACCGGGGAAAACCGGGATTCATTAGGGAATGAAAATTTACCGGGAAAATCAGGGAATGAAAATTTACTGGGAAAATCAGGGAATCTGTTCTAGAAACCGGGAATCTCTTTCATTGACCAGATAACTAGGTTGAGATGTATGCGAGCCTGTATCGAGAGCATGGTGTCTAGTTTTTTAAAAACCGGGGAAAACCGGGATTCATCAGGGAATGAAAATTTATCGGGAAAATCAGGGAATCTGCTCCAGAAACCGGGAATCTCTTTCATTGACCAGATAACTAGGTTGAGATGTATTTGAGCCTGTATCGAGAGCATGGTGTCTAGTTTTTTAAAAACCGGGAATTATCAGGGAATGAAAATTTACCAGGAAAATCAGGGAATCTGTTCCAGAAACCGGGAATCTCTTTCATTGACCAGATAATATCAACATCAGGAACATTTTTTAAATTAAAATTTTGAATGTGCGTCAAAGAAATGGCCGTTAGATGAATTAAAATCGATATTCATATCTGAAAGTCTGGAAAATTATATTCTTTTCCCCTAGAAAATCCCGGGAAAGTAGGAGCAAACTTCGGTTTTTCATCAGGGAATGAGCTCCTGAATCCTGATAATCTGGGAAAATCAGGAAAAAATCAGGGAATGAGCTTTGCTATGAAAACTAGACACCATGATCGAGAGAGGGGTAGGGTGTCTACAAGTCTGGAAATAGTACTGATTTTTTAAGGTCGGTTCGGAAGTATTTAAAAAGTGCGCTAATTTCGCAAGTAGGTCCGGAACTTTTTTCATTTTTTTTGTTATTTTTGAGCGAGTAATCTTAATTTTTGAAAGTTTTCGAATTTCGTCAAATGGATTTACTGAAGAAGTACTAAATTATTCTGTTGTGGAGGTTACTGAATTTATCGGGAAAGTACCCGGAAAGTACTGTGAAAGTCCTGATCTTTGGTCAGCCTGTTTTAGACACTTTGTGGGGGTGAAAGCAGCGGGCTGACTATTGAAATTGATGTACAAAGCGATAGACATGCAAAGAAGACATGGAGAGTATGGGGCGATCCCATTGATTGAAATGGGTGGTCCCTATGGACTAGGGAAAAAAACGATGGACTAACTATAGGGTATCTCGTGGGTTGCCGTTAGTTAGTGTATTACCTATCTCCTTTATCTGTTGTAACCACCCGCTTCCACCAAAGGATGCTGGATGTAAAAGACTGGGAGCTGTAACCTTAGTGGAAAGAAACGATCGAATTCAGGATAATCCAATCTGTTAGGGAGAAGATGTACCAAAACAGAAAGAACGAGGGTTTCAAAGAGGAAAAAGGTGAAGTGAGATTGAGATGAGCCATGGGTGTTATGGAGATTTTTACTTTCTTCGGAGGCTTTGATCATGGGCGTCTTGGACCCTATTTCGCGATATCTCACGCATGTCCAGCGAATGTGTTGTGTTAAAAAAAATGTAATATTTCAAAAACCCAACGCGTTGATTTAAAGAAAATATTTTTTTCATGTCTCAGAAAAAAAATTCTGAATGAAATACTTTTTAATGTACCTACATGTTCGTCATCGAGGACAAATTTTATTTCCTATGAAGCGAAAAAAAATCTAGTTTGGGTTTTTTTCTCACCGAACGTTTTTTCTGCAACTTCCAAAAAAATTTCGAAACAATTTTTATTCAAAATCACTTAAAATCCTGCTGTTTAACATTTTTGTTTTCCAGTGCAGACCTCTGAATTTTTCAAGGAGGCCTTCGTAAATTAGGCAATGTAGTAAGAAAAAAAAATTTACATCAGAAAATCATTAACATCCGATTCTTTGAATCGAAAAGATTTTCTCAATAGTAAAGGGGGGGGGGGCGTTTAAAATTTTTTTTTTTTCAGTGTAGAACAATTTGCATCCTTGAAGGTACGAGTAGCTCCCTAAAGCAGAAATCTGATAATGAACCACGAGATAGGGAACGGCAGGTTGGTATCAGGGATGAGATGACGAGAAGGGATCGCTTACCTGTTGCGTGGAGAGCGGGGTGCGACAAATTTAAGGGACGGGTCGTGCGGGACTGCGTCTGGAAGCAATTTGAAGGGAGGGCGCCCGGAGAGCATGCGCCCCTCGCACCAACGGGGAGGGGGTTGAAGAACATTTATTAAAGCTAGCCGTCAAATAAATTCTTTTTTTTCATTGACTGCTTATTTTCCCTTTCCTCGCGGGTTTCCTCAGTCGCTCCTCGTGTATCTTACTCGGGCACCACTCACCCCAAGCCGATTCGTCCTAGCGTTGATGCCGCTTCTAACTCTAGTAAATCTACATTTATAGTTATAGTTTTGTTGTACTCAAGTCTACGCTCCCGTTCTAAGGAAAAACACCGTATGAGCCATCAGACTTTGCCAACTTTCCTTCAAAAAATACAAATTTACTGGTATAATTGTGAATATTTTTCATCAAATTTTGTAGACATTATTATTTGAGATCGAATCTAGAATGTCTGCAAATTTCAAGGAAAAATATGCATGACTTTCCCCTAAAATACTTGTTTTATCCGGGAGAATTTGGCAACTCTCGAATGTTCATACGGCGTTCTTCCTTAGCACGACAGTCCGGGCCCGTTTCGAGGGTGTCAACTAGTCCGGAATTTAAGTAAGTCCGGAAATAGTGCTGATTTTTTAAGGGCGGTCTAGAAGTTGCGAAAAAGTGCGGAAATCCCGCAAGAAGGCACGGAATTTTTTCCTTCGTACCATGCATGTTACTTATCAAAGCCTGAAAGTATGCAGTTCCCCGTTGGATCTTTGGGTGTAGTATTTGCCTGCAAGATCGAGATTATGCAGTCAGTTATCTCCAAGACGCTAATGGAGATTTTGTGTCTGCGTCATCTTTATCGCAATGCAAGCAAGAATTCCAAATTTTCGATTTTTGTCAAATGGAGGCACTGAAGAAGTTCAGAATTTTTCTGTTAAGATGGTAGTAAATTTCTCGGGAATGCACTGAAAAAGTACTGCCACCCTGTTTTAGTAGACACCCTGGTTTTACTTTTACCTGTAGGTATTTGAAATCTGCTTTTGTTGCTCTGAGGTTTCAGGGGCCGTTGCAGTATTACGTGTTGGTTTCAACATCGGTTTATAGGTGCACTTGAAGCAAATATACATGCTCAATGGATGTGAGTGTTGCATATGCGAGTAATTGAAGGCTCTTCGGAATTTCTGTGCCCTCCTTGAGGAATCGGCGGATGAGTAACGCTAGGGACGTTTTTACCGACTTTTTGACTCCCCTTCCCCCTGGTAAGGCACCATCAAACAATCCCTATTTTGAATCACGCATTATGACTAGTTTGACCCCCCTCTTATTCCTTCTAATTTTTCAAAAAAGTGATGCAGTCTGAATAAAGCTCCTAAATATTCTTTTTATTGGGAGAGAGCTTATGGAAGACTGGGCTTAATCCCTTCCTCCCCTGAAGTAGCTTACATATAATGCTTAAAAGAACCAGAAATATCTTTAACCCACGTAAAGGGTTATTTCTTGCCCCTCTATGGTTAAAAGTACCTTTTGATAAACAGTCCGCTTCAGCGCTTCAATATTCAACCAGAAAGGTTTCTGTAAAACATCGGATGTACGGACAAGTTGTACCATTATTTTTTAGTCAATTTGGCCCTTGGTGTCACGGTTTTTTGCGAAAAATAATTGGTCTCCGGGCTTTTAGAGGAGTACTTAGTTTGAGTCAAAATGAAGTTGTGAAGAAATTAGACAACCTCTCAAAAATACTTTATCCTATCTTTATCCATCACGACCATCGAAGCTCATACCCGCGCCGAAGCGTCAATGATAGATTATCGATATTTACCCATTTGAAGCTATGGTAAAGAATCGATTGTTATGTTTATCGATCCTTTTCTATAGGTTTAAATGGCAGATCAATCGATGTAACACAGAGCACGCCACGCCACTGGCTCATATGGTTTTGTTGCTTGAATTTTTTTAGGAATAACCGCTTCAGTTTCGGCTTTATTAAGCTGTTTTTCCGTAGAGGTGGCAACTAAGCGGCCGGAGGACAAACTTTTCCGCTGCGTTTCATTAGTTCTAATCCCTGTTTTGTCACTATTACCTCTTATAAATCGATTTGGACTTGGTGTAACGCTTCGCAAACTTCCTTCCAAAAAGTCAGTTTGAGCTCTCTTTCCGCCACAAGGATCCAAGTAATTTCGGAACTTCAAACATGTATTTCTCGTAATAGCGAAAACTGCACTTACACGCCTTTTCCTACAAGCCCCTTAATTCTAGTCCCTGCAGCTCTAAATGTTAGTGTGTATCAAGAGAATTGTGATATCAAACGGATAGAATCTGCTCATTTTTTACTTCTTTCACTTACCTACCTATTAGTTACTACTACTTAATATTGCTATGCACTTAAAATCGAATACTTTACTACGAAGTGAAAACAAAACAAAACTAAAAGTAACACGAAATAAAATCTTTATTTTTAACGTCATTTTTTTCACAGTCGAAGAAAAAAAAATCAGGTACACTTACGTTTTCAACGACAATATTCAATTTGACGCCGAAAAAGTATTTCATTGGGTGTTGTGGATGTTGCGAACCTCCCTTATCAAAATATGATACATTTATCATAAGTGATTTTCGCTACAAGATAATTTTTAGGTTGACTATTTCGGGAGTTAAAATTAGCAGATGCAGGATGGTAGGTCCTCATCGTGCGATTTTAAGGAATTGAAATTCGCTGAACGTATTCAATCAATGTTTGTGACACTTATTGTTAAAAAAATCGGAAATCTGTGGAGCACTGCGTAGTTTACGTAACCAAAAATATAGGACACGTTTTACATTGCCAAAATGAATAAACAATTTAGAAATTTTGCACTAAATAGAAACATTTTATAGAAAATTCAGTCCTAACTTCGTGGTGCAAGTTTCTTTATCTTACTTGGCACAATAATTTTCAGTCTGTCACTTTATAGTGTGCATAGGATTTCCTCCACTTACACCTATGTTAAATAATCGATTCTTGTCTAACAATAAGCACCTGGCCCCTTCGAAAAATCGATACATTTCCATTCGTTTAAATGGAGAAAAAACGTTGGCAATATACTGGATCCGCCAATGGTCGTTCCTCGCACAGTATTTTGCTGTAGAAATGATCATATTGAGTTACATTCCGCTTTAGGAAGGTTTAAAGAGATCCTTTATATACCATCAAAAAATGGACAATTTTTGTAAACCTCGTGTGAAATTCAGTTGTGAAACTCGGAAAATGGATCCTTAAGAGGAATTACGACGACTTTCTATTTCAAAAAATACTAAATACGGAGGAAGTTGAATTATTTAATTTTGACTAACTTTAAGGCAGGCATGAATTTACCTGGAAATTTTCGAAGCTCGCAGTATATTTTCCTCTGCATTTTGTATTTTTTCCAATGGCTTATCATTGTAATTCCTCTTGAGGATTCATTTTCTAAGTTGTACGCCTGAATTTCACTCAAGTTTTGCCAGAATTTTCCTTTTATGATAATATGTCAAGAATCTCCTTAAACCGCCGTCGGTCAGAAGCGGATCCAGCAATTTGGCAACACCGGAGTTCCTTCACTTAAACCTGTGTTAAATAATCGATTCTTGTCGGAGCACCTGGACCCTCGAGTGAGTAATCGATACATTTCAATAGTTCAAATGGAGAAAAAGAATGTTGACAATTTGATGGATCCGCTAATGCCGTCAGTTATACGATGTAAACCGTATAATAAGGCTTCTTAAGGGGAGAAGCTGAGGAAGGAACGCCGAAGAACGCACACCATTGTTTTTTTGGTTCTGTTTCTATGTCAGATGATTATTATCATAATATTCGGATTTCCATCGTCATTGAAGTGTGCTTCCATCGAGCATGTTTCCAGCGTGGTTTCAGATGCAGCCTTTTTCGTACGGGCCAATGCACGCAGCATACGCCATGGCTACGGGCAAGTAGTTCTGTTCGTAATTCCCGGAGAACATGAAACTTCTGGGTCCAGTCGCGTAAACGGCCACGTCACTGCCGTCGTGGGTCTCCGAATGTAGAGGCACAGTCCCCGGGTACATGAAATTTCGATCTCCTGAAATACCAAACAAGGAATTTAAACCCCGAGAAAGAAATTTCTACTGTGAGAACCGTTCCTAATATCACTTTGACGATAAATGGATGTTTTTTAAAATATCTCCGAAAGCAGTAAAATGTTTCGAGAGACGTTTCTTCAGAACGGAAAAAGAACGAAAACCTCCAAGGAACAACTTTGGAACGTCCGAAGCGATAATTTATGATGACTCTTCCTGGGTCTTAAAGCGCTAAAATTTAATTTGATGCGAATTTGTAATGGACGGCAAAAGATCAAACGATTAAAAAGCTAAACAATACAAATTTCATCACTCATAAATACTTTCTCATTAAAAACAAAAATCGTCGGACCGGTTTCGAGATCCTGGTCTCATCGCCAGCGATCACCGACTCCATTTTAATTTTTCAATTTTCAATGCTAAAAGTCAGTTATAACAATTTTAAAAAAATTTCACCCCTAAGAACAAACTATTAGGTTATAACTTCGTTTATACGTTCAAGCAAATCTCACGAAATATCCAAGATAATAATTCGCTCGCCGTGGTGTGTTGCGTTGCCTATGCGGCGAAATGAAGGCGAACCCTTGGTGGACTATATACCTACCAAGCTAACAACATCGCATACCTATCGGTTCATTGTCAATCAAAGTTATTTGAGCAACCTCAAAGTGAGGTTTTCAAGTAGGTAACTTTTCACGATACCAAGTGTTCTTATTGCCTATACGGCAATATCGAGGGCAAACCTCAAGCAGACTACATGATACTCACCAATAGTTTCACGTTTGGTGCTTATTTAGGGAGAGTACGCAGTACGGACTCATCGAACTATTTAGCTCTACTAGGGCCCAAAAAATCAGCCAATTTTTAGATTCCAAGATCAAATCTAAATGGCCAAGAATGTTCACAAATGAGCGCTCTTCCGCAGGAATGAGTGCGGGATGGTAAATGAGAAATCAGTAAATTTATGCAGAAACTAAGTCAAGTACGTGTTTTTCAAATGACGGGTCGTAACAAATGCTAAAATAAATCACTCTGGACAATTTGAATTTATATATTGGCTGTCCTCGAGGGCCCTAATAAACTCATGACCTAACCTCAAAATTATCGACGGTCGTACTCTTCCTATACGGATACTTTATGTCTATGCAAACTCCTAGCTGAACTTTTTCCCTAAAGTTCATAATAAATCTTAATTTTATGACCCTGTATCTAGACGTATTATCGTTAGAATTGTATTCTCGACGGATATATTCGAATATCGTCCTCGGCACTTATGTCTGTGGTGATGATATTCCATATCCAACAATCCAACGTGACCACTGTAACACACTGATTTTAGTATTCTGTATCAACTGAAATCACGGAGGATGGAGGACGCGGCAGTAAACCGATGCGCAACTTGTCCCCTTAGTGAAGCTCTCTCCAGAGATTAAATCCTTCTAGAGTTTATACCCCCTTATAGTCGCTCATTTGAATTGATAATCCGGTGAAGTTTTTTACTACGAAAGTGTCTCTTCGTTCTGTTTCCTCGCCCTCCTGTCAAGGTAACCCTCGAGACAAAGCTTTTATGAAAATGAAAACGCGTGCGAAATAAGATTCGGCTCGGGTAGCATGTGTGTATGACGAATGGGGATGCATGGTAACACTGCTGAAGAAGAATGTCGTATGACCCTCCAAGCGTTGTTAAAATTCCCTAGATAAAATACAAATTTGTAGGAAAATTTGTGAATATTTTTCTTCTAATTGTTCTGAGAGTTTTATTCGCAGTTTTTTCTGAAGGACCTCAAAATTCTAGGGAAAGATACTAATAAATTTACTCAAAAATAAATAATTCATCCCCAAAAATCTGGAAACCCCGAGTGTTCCTTTGGCGTTTTTCATTAACATGGCAGAATACTCTTGCGTATCAATTGGAGGATTTTAAGTGTGGATGTGAGATTCAAGGAGAGCGAACAGAACAGCGGTTTTGTTGTGCTAGTGCCCTGTTAAGAGGGAGCAAGTCAGTACATCGAAATAATCATAACTGTGAATTTACATCCTGGTTTCTGAAAAATGGGTGACGACTTCAACAACATGTTCATCTCGTGTTTATAACGTGTGGACGTGAAATTGACAACGGGGGGAAGTAAGACGAACAGGTGCGAGATCGCTGCACTTTTTTTCATAACCTGGATGTTAAACATCCTAATGGACTACTAGACAAGGTTCGAATTTAAGCATTCTGATATATGTTTCTTAATCAGAATTTCACGTAGAACACGATTCGCGCAACGAAAATTACTGAAACCAACTCCTAACGGAGATATTAAAATTTTTATTTCACATTGGTTACGAGGAATTTAAACTGCCCGCTCACAAGAAACTCAAAGCTCTACGTGAGTCAAATCGTGCACTACAACGGTTTCAGCAATCTTCTCAATCGAGCAATGTTCATTTCCCACCATGTGTTGTTCAAACTAAAAGCAATTTGCTACAGCTGAGCCAAAGCGTCAAGATTGAGGTTGCCAGATTTTTATATCGCAGAGACTGTCATGATAACGTTTAGCGCACGATGTGAATCACGCAGAGCATTGAGTTTTCATGAGCGGGTTGTTTGAATTCACGCATCAAGAATCATTAAATATCTTTGGAAGGAGTTGATTTCCGTAATTTTCGTCGTGCGCGTCGTATTCTACGTGAAATTTTAGGTAAGGAACATGTATCAGAATGCTGAAATTAGTACCTTGTCTAGTGGTCCATTTTTTTGGTGTATTTAGGTACGGAAAGGCACAACCAACTCGAGCACAATAAGCACAACCCATCTATTACATCATATGCATAAAAAACGAAAGTCAGTTCAAAAGTGTCAAAAATGTAGACATTTTTCCCCTTTTGTCAGGGAAAGAGGGTTATTCATATAAGCGAAAAATGTACCCAGCCCGGAATGTACGAAACTTTGTGGGCTGATAGTGCTAGTTGAGAGAGGCTTATCCCTAGCTCCGTTTTTGCAGGAACCCCAGGGAAACAGCTTTGCCATTTTTTAAAGTCGTAACCTTCAAACATCCATAACTTTCGCAAAAATGCAGTGACAGAGCTCGTATTTAAACCAAAAAACGCAAAAAACTTCGTATCTCTTTCAGGGTATTATTTTTTCGGTCTGTCAGGTAATTTTGAATTTCCCCCCGGTTTTTTGGCTGCTTTTGTCAGGGAAATAAGGGTAATGCTAGGGATTTTTTTTCTCCTCCTAAAAATTGCTGAACACCCTGGAATCGAGGATCAACCGGACTACATTTTGCAATTGAGAACCACTTTTTCTGGCCCATTTTAGAAACAGCATACATGCCATTGGTTTCCCTATTCAGATGTGTGCTTTTTCGGAGAGCCAGTAGAGGTAGGATAGTGGTTCCTTATTGTCAAATGGACCGCGTTTAACAGAAAGGAACCAAGCCATATCGGCTGTTGCCACATTTAACTGAGGTACTTAATTTTCTACGAGAGAACAATTGTGCGAATCTTTTCGAAAATTTTAGAGGATTGCCTCGTAACATGCAGAAAATCCACTGAAATTTTCAAACAAATCCGCTTCGCCGTTTTCATGTAATAAATTAAATTTCCCCGCTAAAATTGGCAATAACTGATGTGGCTTGGTTCCTTTCTGCTTAACGCGGTCCTAATGTAATGCCGCAATCAGACGCTGAAGTTAGCACCTGAATGTGGAAGTCAACAGTCATCGCCCAACGGCTGAAATTTAGCAAATTCGAGTTATTTTCATCCAGATGTGTATCAAATCTACTCGAATAGTTCAGACAAATTCAAAATTGGTCCGATGGTTGCTGAGGATCGTTGCTGAATTTTGCGCGTCACGCGCAAAATTCAGGCATCGGGCCGATGACTTCCACATTCAAGCCACATTCAGCTCCCACATTCAGCGTGTGATTGCGGTGTCATCCAACTGTTGCGATACGGACCTGTGACGTCGAGATTGGTGAGATTGTAGCGGACACACTTATCCTGGCCGAGGAGAGTCTTGTTACTGGGCCCGTTGGCGTAGGACAGAGTCGTGTACGTAAGCTGGTCCACGTCAGAAACCTCGGCCACCCCCAAGATGTCGTTTCCGCGCTTGGGGTACCCGGAAATGGTCATGGTGTGCCCGTGGTCAGCCGTCACCACGATGAGCGTTTCCTCCGGGTCGGTCGTCTTGAGCGCAACCTCGATGGCCTCGGCGAATCCGATCGTCTCGATCAACGCTTTCTGAGCCTGAAATCCCAAATATTCCGTTTAATGACGTGCCCCAGCAGCGTATTAATGGGTCAGTTGCGCCGGTCCCAGAATCTCGTTTCGATTATTTACTCATGCAGATCAACTAAAAATAATAACAAGGTGGAGGAATGGTGCTGGGTCCACACCATTTCATATTCGCATAAAATTACCATTACCATTTTTAAGGGTTCGAAGGTCCGGTATAGACGATATCGGTGCGCAAAAAAATGAGCTAAAATTGGACGATTTTTGGTGGTTTTTCTCGAATTATTAAGTTATTACTCATGTGATTTAAATAAATAAAAAAAAGTGTCGGGGCCTTGAAAAGCCGGTTCTATATATACCATTTGAATTGACTATTGATTGTTTATCTGGTTAGTCTCTGGGTGAAAAAACCGATTATGTGTGTTCTCCCGTATGTGTGTTGCGGGAAGTATTACAGACCTCTGCAACCGTAGTATATCTAAGCTGGCACTACGAAAAATGGCAATTAATCAGCGATTATCAATTAACATGCCTAATGAATCAGCTCCAAATTTTGCCTGTATGCGAGGAATTAAGTCTACCAGCCAGAGTGCACAGGGTTTTGAGTTTCGTTAAGTTTTCGCTGAGATATCTCAAAATAACGCAAAAGTTGAACGGGTTCGTGTAAGATATTATATGTATCAGCCGCTACTAGTAATGTTCTGGTTCTCGGTGGATGAGGTCAAAAATCCGACTTTTCACAGGACGGTGTCTTTGTTAACATTCAACGTAGGAAGTTGCTGTTTGGACAGATCTTATTATTTTTAGTTGATCTGCAAGAATGAAGCATCAAAACATGATTCTGTCACCATCGCAAAAAAATATTCCGAGAAATTTTCAAGCCATCATTTTGTTCTAGTCTACTTTTGAAGAATAGAATTCGAGCAGAGATTATGAAACACCGCATCCGAGAAATACATTTTGGCAATTACTCTTTTGATAAATGTTCATAATTATTGATAGCAAAAGTGACAAATAATAATTTCATTGTCTGATCTGAGTTTTATTTTCGATGTTCAATTTACATCCTAATATCTCGCTAAGCAGCTGAGTTACGAACTACATTAAAATGAGAGAAAGGATTCGTAGCCCTTCGCATATTAATTTATTTGTTTCTCAAAACCTCCTCCCTCAATTCTAAAGGAATGAATGATAATTAATGAGAATGCCAATTTTTCTTACCTTAGTTTTGTGATGACCGTGATCGATTCTACCTCCCTCTACAAACAAGAAATAACCTTTGGGATTTTTATCCAAAACTTTTATGGCCGCTGCCGTCATGTCGGCCAAGGAGGGCTTATCCGTCGTAGCAAGCTCCTCAGCATATGGCATGTGGCTCGAATCAAAAAGACCTGTCCGGAAAAAAAGAAAGAGGAATTAACTTATTGCATTTACTGAATCCATCATCGAGCTGCTGATTTTCCGGTTACAAGCAAAGGAAAACTCTGTTGAATCCGTTGAATTTGAATTTGTTGATACAAGTAATTTATGGTACGAGGCAAGGTTCTGAACAATTTTAAAAAACCAAAAACTTAAAGGGATATGGCTCTATAAATCTAAGTAAACAATTACTCAGCAAATGAAATTCTAATTGAATCACATGCAATACTTATTGCTAAAACAAGTTGCCTCAAGTGATCCGAAGAATATATTTTTTCCTTTTTCAACATAGAGTGTGACCGGTGGCCGGTGGCCGGTTTTTCGCGGTCGACCGCAACAAAAGAAATTCGGCTTCAGATGAGCGACATGAAACTTCAATTTCTCCGGCTGAGAAGTTTAGAGGTATACATATTTCAGCCGAAGCAGACTCAAAACAACCCTCTTTGCATCAGAATAACAAATAGTATCATTGCTCGAACTAGGACGCGGCCAGACACGACAAGATATAGTCCTATCTTAACCATGCAATATATTGCAATTCGGTGTCTTATCGGGCTGCTATGAGCTTTCAATAAGCGGCCCACAAGTTTTTTCGAGGCACTTTATTATTTGTGTACTGCGAACATTACTAATGTCGGACTTTTTATTTCTTTTTGTTACAGAACGTAAGTGTCCAGATGTTTTCTTTCTAATTCACGCATGAAATCTAACTTGGTAAGTTATCAACAAACAATTGCATCAACTTTGCCAATTGGTTTAGTATTCACTCCGGTTTTTGTCTCTCTTGTTTTCTACTTTAATTTTGGATTGAAGAAATTACTTTGGATCTCCGTAATATATCGCAAACGAGGTGGAAATATGTAAGATACTAAGAGGTCAAGCCCCCAGCAGGTACACGTCTACCTACAAGAATTTCTTGCCACCAATATCGAGGAGTTGATCGGATCATAACATTTTATTACCTAGTAAATACTGAGTAGTGGGTGATACTGCCAGCAAGGATGCTTTATCAGAAACGTATTCCCCTTTTTGACTGTTCGCTATTCTAATAGATTTCCACAAATCGATAAGATTTCTGCCGTCTTTCCTGTTTCCATTTTTCCCTTCTTCGTCTGTCATTGATTTTGGCAGAAATTCTTGCCGACCACCGCCTAAAATAACCTGAAAAAATGGGCATGAAAATGGGCGCATTAATAGTTGAACCGAAATGCGGCGTAACGTTTGCTTTGCACAGATTTTCGAAACAGTAATCGGAGTAAATTCTCTAATTTTGGAAATTCGTTTGAAGTTCTTCCAAGCTTCAGTTTGAAAATCTTTTTGACCGCACTTCTCTTACGTTTCAGCATGATCCCAGAGGGAGATTTGTCACATGAGAGTCGGGTATGAAACTATTTTCATTTTTTTGTTCGTTATTTTGTCGAAGCGCCCTTTGGGGGTTGGGCTGCGTAGCGGCCAGGGGGCATAGCCCTCTAGTTTTTTTTTTGCGTTTGCGGCAGATGAAATTCATTTGCAGGCAACTGAATTTCTTACAAAAGTGAGGAAAAACTCGGAGTAGATTTAGGGACAAATTCATAGCGGAACTGTCAGATAAGTCCAAAGACATAAAAACGGAGCGCTAAAAGCAAAAAATGAAGCTTCTTTTCAACCACCTCTACTACTGGCCAGAGGATTGGCGGCAAAATCGGGACAAGTTTGAAATTCAAATGTCGGGTGGGAAATGAGTAAAATTGCGTATACAAAGTATTCTAGGTTGATTTTTGCCTAGATTCACTTACCCACTCGTATATTTTGTTAGCTTTAGGTTATTTTTGGTCCGTCATAGACCAATTAATTTCATTTGGGAGTAACGGCTATCTAGGACTGTAACGGCCTGTTTGACTTTGAACCAGCAGGACCACCATGAGCAGATGAAAAACTAACTTTATCTGAGATCACTGCCTGTTACCGAGCAAACGTAGGTGTATTATAAAAAGTCAATGTCCCAATTTTCTTAATATATTCTTTGTAGGCATTTAAAACACGTTTAGAAGAAGAAATGTAGAAAAGTCAAGAGGACAAGTTCAAATCAAATTTCGGTTTGCCGCCATGAATTCCCGCGCTCATTTACACACTCACACAAGCACCCAGCGCAAAACCAGGCTTCACTTTTTCCCCGTGCTTTTAGATACGAGTACTCCGTCTTTATGTCTTTAGATAAGTCACATATAACTAGAAAACTACGTTGCACAATTCAAGTAGCAATGGAAGTCTCATACGCCCTTTTACCGAAAAATGCCTCAGTTAGGGGTGAATCAAGAAAGAAAATACAATTTGGTATTTACCCGTAGGTCCATACCTGGTAACTTGGTTACCAGTTGGCTAGCGATGTCCTCACACTCGGACGGATCCAGTTTGTCCTTAATGACGTCAGCATCCGACTCCCAGCCCCGGTCAGCCACGTGAGCGTACATCCCTGCAGGTGATGCATGCGTCACCCTGCCGGCATTAATCGACGGTTTTACGATATTGACGAAACAAACATAGTGAGGGTGTAGTTTGTATTTATGAGCCACTTCCCACTATGTCAACATGCTCAAACTCGGAAGCCAAGAACTTGTCCCTCGATCGCACGCCTTTTGCATTCGTTGTTCATTCCTTATTCCCTTCTCCTTCAGTTTAACCTCACTCTTCCCGATTCAACTGGCTTTTTGTCGGGTAAGAATTTTTCAACTCCATATTTTTGGCTATACCGGTGTTGCAACGTGCTATACGCAATGAAATTAGCCTCCCGAAGAAAAATACGTAAACATGCTTGGAGAAGCAGCAAGTATAAAAATAAAAATGAAGGTAATGAAAAGAAAGTAGATGCCATTATGCTGCCATTTTTTTCTTTATTACATGAAAGGCCTCAGGGATGTAAAAAATAAAGAAAATGGCAGCAAAATTGTAAGAGAACAGTTAGAGATCTACTTCTTTCTATTATCTTAATTTTTTTGAGGAAAAAATGGTTTAAATGCAGTTATTTTGGAATTTCGTCTAGATTCATTCATGTGTAAAATGTTCGCCATTAACTCCCGTGAGAGCGTTCATAAGTCACGTAACGCACTTTTTCGGCATCCCTCTTACCCCCTTGTAACACTCGGAACGCAACCCCGAACTCTCCTCAATAATTACGTAGCGCACCCCCTTCCTTAAGATCCCCAAAAATGTGGGAAACTGTCGAATATGCTTGATACAATTTGAAGTACTTTAAATGATAGTGTGACAAAATAACGTCGAATAAATGAGGATAATACATTGTGTGTCTTTTACCAATAGAGAGGGTTCCGTTACGCTTGCGCCAGATACTCCTCTCCCTCCATGTAGTGCAGTGTAACGCAAACTCATACCCTCCCCCCTTTTCAAGAGCGTAACGTAATGGAGATGTTGCATGTGTGAGGACTTTGCGATTTTATTGTTGATTCTTACGTAAAAGTTCGCGAGAAACACGATGGTGCCACTGGTTTTCTCTGAAATCAACTCCTAAGCTCTAAAAAAGCTCTCAAGTTAAGGCCAAAATGGAGGGGATATCCCACGCTATCCTGGGAGTCCACGTCTACATTAAGACAAACTCTCCATGCAAAGATAGGGAGCAAATACATTGACAGGGCTGCCACTTTATTTGGGGAATCCAAAACCAAAAACGCGGCATCACTACTAATGTATTTGCTCCCTATCTTTGCATGGAGAGTTTTTCTTGATGTAGAGGTGGACTCTCAGGATAGCGTGGGATATCCCCTCCATTTTGGCCTCAACTTGAGGGCTTTTTTTGAGCTTGGGAGTTAATTTCAGAGAAAACCAGTGGCACCATCGTGTTTCTCGCGAACTTTTACATTAGAATCAATAGTCAAATCGCAAATTCCTCACACATGCAACATCTCTATTGAAGAACACTCCCTAATGATTTGACAATAATTCAAATTAGTGTTAAACTGCTTTGCTTCCCCATTTTCTCAATGGCATGATACGTGTTGTCACGGTACGTACCTGGTGGTGGTTACGAGCCCTGCGATCCGGTCGCTCGCCTGTGCCCAAGTAGCGATGGATGTCAATCGATTTTGGGCCTCGTTCATGCCCTTGCAGTCGCCTCTGGACACAGCTGGTCCGACACCCAGCATCCCGTAATTCGTCTTAACGCCCGTAAAATAGGCTGTAGCCGTGCTTGCTGAGTCAGCCACTTGTCTGTCCACGCAGTAAGTCTGCATTGAAAAGATAAAGTGGTTTATTAAAAAAAATCAAAAATCAGCGATATATATATATATATATATACATATATATATATATATATATACACATCCTCATTCATGCCCTTCCAGTCGAATCTAGACACAGCTGGTCCAACACCCAGCATTCCACAATTCGTCTTTACGCTCGTAAAATAGGCTGTAGCCGTGCTTGTTGAGTCGGCTACCTGTCTGTCCACGCTGTAAGTCTGCATTGAAAAGACTAAGCGGTTTATTCAAAAAACTTTAGCGCCTGGATGTAACTATTCGTGTTCAATGGGTGTGAGTGTTGCATACACAAGAAAATGAAGGAATGAACTCGTCATCAAGCTCCCCCCGCCAATCCAACCCGCATTCCTTTTCCTACTCCTATGTCGCTTAGTTCCGTTCAGCAGAAACTAAAGCATGTCAGGAGGTCTATACCGTCGCAAACCAAGCTACCTACATTGTGTGCATGGGAGTTTTGACGCCGATATTGTCATCAAATTCGCTCCCTTGGAATGAAATTTGTGTCAAATTAACACTCTTAAACTAAAAAAAAAAAAAAAAANTTTTTTTTTTTTTTTTTTTTCTTGGAGGATGACAATACTTCCTCTCTACCCTAGGGGAGCGAGAAAGTAAAAATATTAAAACTGCGAACTCACTTTGGATAGACCGGTGAATGGGAAGCTTTCAAAACTAAGTTTTTGTTCCTCGCCGAGGAAACCGGCTTTTTGCCCTTTGAGAATTCGCGCTGCAGTGATGGTCGATATTGACATTCCATCTCCGAGAAAGAGAATGATATTTCGGGCTTTCTGCCGCAATATTTTTTGCTGCAAATGCTTTGTTACCTCTATCCTGGCTGAAGTTAGCCATTTCAGTGGATCTGAAACAGTAGATATGTTGATTTATAAATTGGTATCCAGAATCCTTCTTTTATTTTTTCTACAGTCTCCAGCTTGTTGGGTCCTTACGCATTATTATTCAAGTAGTCACAAGGATTTTGACTTACTGATTCGCCTTCATTAAAGGAGGTAGGCAAGAGGGGCTCCTAGTCGCTTAAATAGTGGTTTTCGTTTTAGTTTTATCGGTTTCGTTGATAGCCAGTTCACCGCTAAGGATTAATGTATAATAAGTTTGTCGTTACCTTTACTGGCGTAAAAAAATACTGTTGACTCTCTCATACATAGGGGTTATCCCCTAAACTTGTGGTACTACCCCAATTTGTTGGATGATATAGACATTTCCAATTAATTTTGGTAGTATCGCAACTCAAGTTGGGGTAGTACCGCAAAATTTAGGTTAGTAACCCAATTTATTGGGATAGTATCACAATTACCTAATTAGGGTACTATCACAATAAATTGGGGTAATACCACAGTTAATTGGAAATGTCCATATCATCCAACAGTTCGGGCATAGTCCCTACCTCTTTTTTTTCGTGTATGTTTCATTCATATTTCTTCGGTAAATAGTTTCGAATACAATGTTTGTAGGTAATAGAAGTCTAATAAGGATGAAAAGTGTGCACTCACCTGTCTCGGACAGACTTTCAAAATTATCTGGAATGTCAATCTTCAGTGCATCTGGAGTGAAAGCGCTGAATGCATTAATGCCAGGGATCTGTGAACCTGTAAATTTAATAGCTTAATTAGACATTGTGCTTCACGGTAGAATCTAGAAAAAAATTTCCTTTTAAGCACCTTTTCCAGAATTTCGTCGTAACAAGTATGACATATTTTTTTTGTCAGTTGTGGTTTTTCATTTGTAATACAGTATGTACAAGGATTTTGTCGAGACACCATAGCAGAGTTGGCTGAAGTTCGCTTTAAGGAGGTAAAATTTTACCAAGAATGAGTTCTCATTTTCTAGTGGCTAGATTCGCAGATCATATTTTCGACTGAAAACATTATCGGAAGCGCGGGTTTTGAGACAAGAAGAGAGTTCGGAGAGATAAAGCAATTTTCCATTTCCCCGTAGTTCCCTTTGAAGCATGATCGCAGCACAACCTACATATTCCCTCAGACACTCGAGCGAAATCATTCGGCTAAAGCTTTCCATTTCTTCCGGCAGACTGCGGCACGAGTAGTATCCGAGGGGAGAAATTTCCTTTGGTTCGCAGAATGTCTCATTATTCAAATTTCACGAGACGTGGTAGCAAGTCACTCGTTTCATTCCTACAACGTTTCAAATCTTTCTCCGATCAAATACAAACAACTGGTGTCAGATTCAAGCCGCCTATTCCTTGTTGAGAATGATCTGAAAGCGTTAAAATACAGGAACCGTTCCTCTTGTATATATTTTTCATTGAATAATGTCGTAAATGTGAATGAGATAAAGTAAACGCGTGTCCGCCTCTTTGTAATCGTGGCAATTTTGCTAAGTTTTGTACTACTTGGCTCCATTTTTAAACGACAATGTAAGAAGTTAGGCACTAATTCTCATTGTCAGTGCGGTTGTAATTCTATCTCCTCTAATTTTGTTTTATTTTTTATTATTTTGGGTGATCTTTTTCCCTCTCTAATGAGATTTCAGCTTTAAGCTGAATTTTTTACGCACGTTGGCTAAAAAACTCCAACATCTCGTTTTTATTATTTGTATGAAGACCGAAAAGAGAGGTTGCAGTTAGGAGAAGTTTCAGGAAAGACTCGTTTCTCTCCTACCAATTTCAATATTTTGATTTTGAATAAACTGTTCGAAAGATCAGGTTGACTCAACTCGAAAAATGCTAAAACAGAATGATGTTTTATGAAATGGAAAGTTATATTTAAAGTCTTTTTGGGGCTTGTATAAGAGAACGGATGCCGAAGGTCAAGAAGAATATGAACTTGGCCGAAATTTTAAAATTCTTGAATGGCTCTCTGTTAGTTTTCGAATAGTTTCGAAGCACAAAATTTGCCTAATTATTTCTAAGTGGCGCTTTAATTGTCGCGGTCAGCTAGCTGTGGAAACGGTCGACCTTAGACAAACATTTTTCACCAATACTAAAATGTATTTGAAGCCCTTGAAAAAGGATTGCATTAGGTAAAAAAAGCCATATAAATGTGTTAGCCGTAGAAAAATCCGATTCTAAGGTGCAAAAAGACATCCGGCTTTTGTCATGAATGCTTCAAATAAAAACCATTTCGGCCCCTCTAAAACGTAATTGCCCCCGCTGTATATGCATCAAGCATCAAGCCAAATAGATCGTATTTGATAGTGGTTCGATGTATCGTTTGGTTCAAAACAATAGAATGTAACCTCAAGCAAAAATGTTACGATTTAAGTTTTAAAAGCTGAAAATTAGAAAATTTCTAATAATTTTACTTTTAATTGCTATTTTATGCACGTGAAAATAAAAATTCTATCACAAGAAACCCGCTCCCTCAGATTACTCAATTGACTTTTGAGGCTAAGCTTTCATGACGAACCAATCGATATCGATACAATCTCACCTGAAGAAACTTTTGTAGAGAACAGTCACCAGACGAAATTGTATAAAAAGATAAAATTTCGTGTACTCATACCTGCATCACTTGAGTTCGCTGCCGGCTGATCGTGGGGCCATCTCGATCCCGAAACGCGTCGCATAAAACTGTTAAGTAGCGCAAGTGAGTACGCGAAATTTTATCTCTTTTTTACAATCTCACCTGTTTGATGCATCGAATATGAGCCCCTAAACTCAGTAAAATTCAAGCACTGCTTTCTGTCGTATTGCGCAGCTGATGGAACATCCATAGTTGTAGACATCATCTTTAAGTGATCAAATACGGGAAGGAGTTATGGAGTAAGGAACTAAGGAACCCTGGATGTATTTAAGAAGAGGAGGTTTACAGTTTTGATCCTCCGCAAGACTTAATGGTGGCTCAAGTCACTGCAGCATCGCGCTGAGTTCTTCAGAAAAAGTATCAACTTCTTATCCAGTTTCGTAGATGAATTGGAACTTTTTCTGGCAACGCTCATGGCATACCTGCAATTTTACACAGAACTGTTTAAGTGAAAACAGACTTTTTCGTTGGTTCTATTACAGTCACTATTGTGGTAGGGATATGTAATCGCGTTTGTTAAATAACTCGACAGTTTGGATCTCCCTACGTGTTCTCCCACATTGTTGCAATGTAACAAAAAGTTCATGAGTAAATTATGACAACATGCACTTCGATCACAGTGTTGTAAAATTTATACTCCTCTGCTATTTTGGTAATAGAAAATCAACCAATTTAATTGTACCCGAAATTCTATCAAATATTCTTCAAATCGAGAGAGAATATTAAGAAAGTCTGTTAATAATACCACGAATTAGTTTTCCATGAAAGAAAAATAGATTTAAATGGAAACCGTGCCCCCTCGTAAATGTAATTGTAAATTTCGTCCCATCTTTACAATGTGCACAGTATAGAGGCTCCTGTGTGAAGAAATTTCGTTATCTCTACCTAAGAACGTAATCGTGAATGTGAACCACCGGTAGATGATAATTTTAAGATGTGCTTGGCTCTCTTCACATTTTCAAATTTATGACCCGGTTAATTTTATTGCGGCCCCCTGAAGGCAAGAAACGCTCCTGTGGGGCTGGGTGAAACACGTAAAAACGCGTCTGGAACATCCAAATTGTCGAGTTATTTAACAAACGCGTTAATGATTTTCTTTGATATAATTTATCTTTGACTCAGAGATGAAAAATGTCGTCATTCTTTACACGAATCGCTAAGCAGAGGAGGGTTTTAACCGCGGCAAGAGTATGCTCTCGGACCTTCATCCTGTCTTAAATTCTTACTTAACAATGTGCGGTCTTTACTTCTGGCCTCAGTTTCATTTAATTCGTCTTTGAAGCTACGATGCCAGCTCCAGCCAGGAAAAATTGTATTGTACGTGAGGGAATGGACCATTTCCTTCGCAGACGGTTGGTGGCTGCTCGTAACAAAGGCTATAAGTTTCCAACACTGTTGTCTCCCCGGACGAAAATCGCCGGGACCTTTCAAAGAAACGGGCGAAATATTCCCGCTAGAGGTGACACCGCTCTCGAGCAAGTTCACGCCACAACCATTGTAAGACGGAAATAAGCTTCCCGAATAAATGATAAAAAGAAAAATATCACTCTAAGTTTCTTTGAAACAGGATGCTCAAATATGTTCTTACTTTCATATTCATTTCCAAGGCTTAAAACGTAGACATTTTATTTACTTTTAAAATAGCTCATAATTCTAGCGCAGAGTGGAAAACAAAATAAAAAGTTCCCTCAAAGGCAGATAAAATATTTTTTCTCCGTCGAAACCGTTCCTTTTTTCCGGGCACTCCAGCTTCGCACGGTTGTGATATCTCGAGAGAAGTCTCTCTGGGCGATTTATAGATTCGATTTCCGTCTTAAAGGCCCATGTGGAACCCACGTTGATCGGCAACGAGTTTCAATACCGGTCATCGATTTATTTTCGATCGATTCATGCTGATCGGATTCATACCCGCCGTTAAAAATGGGTCCAATGATGAACTATGATGAATTATTAAACATCAAAATATGTAGTTTCCGTCTCAAAAATCATAGAAAACGTCTCCCAGTGGTTCATTCCTTAGTGCGCCAACGAAGTGTGCCCAAAAAAGGAGGGAATTGAAAATCTGACAGAAAAAACAAAAAGTCTCGTAAATTTTTTCTCGCGTACGCTTTCAATCGTTTTTAAGCGTCTAGTGTTCCCTTCAGTTTTCATGTTTAATTACAAAAACTTTAAATCAATTCAGATCGTAAGGAAAGATACGTCGTAACAGATATTAAATCTGTGTTATAATTTTATGTTAATTCAAGACAATTTTTATTTTCTACTTTGACAACGGTGGATTCACGCGGCGCGGCGTCACTATATAGCTCCTTGACGGAACAAGATGAGATTACGTTCAATATCCTTCGCTTAAATCCGGAGAAACCATGCTAGCCCAAGATAACTCTTTTTTCTCCCTCTCTCCCCACCCCGCCCTCCTTTTTTTTACTCTTTGAAATTTATTTAGGAAGTTATTACGCCCTTACTATTATTTTATTTATTTTTGTATGTTTTTTTTAAAATTTCTCCGTAGTTCTATTCATCAACCTAATATTATCCTACCTATTTTTTGCGGACGCTTTTGGTGCAAACTTAAGATGACTAACACAGGGTGTCCCAATTTGAACGGAGAAATCTGAAGAAATCAACCTTTTAGACCAAAATAACACTATTTTGCGCTTGGATATTTTTTCATCAGATCAATTTAAAGGGAGAAATTTCCCCTCAAAAATTCATTCTTAACTTTTCTCCCCACTCTATCCGTATTTTTCCCTTTTTTTTCCACTTTCGCAAGTCTAGTTTATACATGAAACTGAAGAGATTACACTGCATAGGAGCCTTGAATGCATTTTCGATGGCGCAGCCACAACCTTAACCGAATTTAAATGGTCCACTGATCAATAATGATTGCACCGGTTCCGCTTGCTGTGATTCACTGAGTTATAAGAATAATTACTCGTTCGCCGCGTTGCTGCAATATTTAACAGGTTCCGTTTTCCTCTTCTTCGCCTCCATCGTTGTTCGTCACCGAATGCAAATGTGAATAAATGCGATTAATTGCTAAGCAGTTTTGGGGCAGGATTTAAGACAAGATTCGTTCTAGATCCCTCGTTTTTTTTTTTTTT